GATCTGCTCCCCGCTCCTCCCGGCTGCGGTTCAGGTCAGCCGTGGGGGCCACTGCTTGTGGGCGTACTCTAGGCAGGCCTGAAGCCAGTGGCGTCTCCCTCTGCATGTGGCACTGAAAGCCCCGCAGAAGCTCCCTCGGCAGGGGAGCCAAGGGGCGGGTGCCTGGGCTTGTCCCGTTGCCACCTGGGGGCACCGTCGTGGCTGCAGGACAGAGTCGCGCTGCCCTGGCCAGAGGCCCTTTGCCGACAGCGGTGTCGCGTGGTGGTGGGGCCACGGGAAGGGCAGCAGCCGCAGCTGCAGATGCCAGCTTCCCGGGAGGACGCTGGGCCGGCTGGCCGGGTCTCCCTGCCTCTGTCTCTCCCTTTCTCTCACCAGGGACAGGGCCCATCTTCCTGCAGAGGCTGGCAGGGAGGCCCTGCTGGGGCTCCCCAGGTCACCTGCCCCTCCCCGGAGTCTCTGCCCCAGGGTGGTTTCCTCCCCCGTAACCAGGGCCAGGTTTGTGGGTTCATGGGCGGGCTACCCCGTCTCTCCAGCCCCAAGTGCAGGGCCGGAATGAGCTGGGTAATCCCGGCTGACAGGCTGACATTTGACTGTGACTGGATCCAACCAACCGGGGAAGGAAAGCAGGATTTGGGTTTATTTATAGCGATCATGTCACTACACTCAGCGCAATGGGACGTTAGTGTCAAAATAAAAATACGTGAGAATCCTGCTTAAATAACCTGGCTTCATCGCTGGGCCACAGCTGAAGCCTCAAGCCACCTCTGTTGGCTGAAGTCAGTCTTGGCAAGTGTTCAAGACCAGACCCCGCTCAGGAGGGCCCCCAACGGGGTGGGCGAAAAAGCTGCACTTTGGTGGGAATATTTTGTTTTGAACTTTTCTACTTTCTGGAAGTCCTTTCCCAGGAAATACCAGCTGGGAAGAGATCAGGCAAAGGAAAATTCCTTCTGTCACTTCAGCAATGAGGTTTCTTTTATTAGTAGACTTTGCTTTTTAGAGCAGTTTTAGGTTTACAGAAAAATTGAGCAGGAAGACAGAGTTCCCATCTTCTGCCCACCACCCCCTCAGTGTCCTGGCTATTAACCTCTCCCTGGCGCAGCACCTTAGGTGCAGCTGACAGGCAACACAACACGTCCTGAAGTACGGTCTGCGGCTCACATGAGGCTTGCTCTCAGTGGCACATGTCCTGTGGGTTTTGACAAATGCATGATGTCTCGATCCACCATCATAGGATCACACAGAAGTGTTTCCCTGTCCTCAAAAATCCCTATAGCAATAAAATATCAAAGCAAGTAAAAACTTGAAGCTGTCCCAACTTTCAGAGCTGCATAAATACCCTGGGAGCTGGGTGGGCTGTGAGCGTGCACACAGATCCCGGCATCTACTGGTGGATGGCAAGGGCCCGGTGTGCGTGTGGTGGAGGCCGGGGCTTGGCTTAGTGAAGAATACAGGACCACAGGTATATAATGCCCTCTGAGTAGGACTAGATGCCCTCCTGAGCTTGGGGGATGGGGAGCTTGTTGATTCGGGTTTCAAAGCCTTTGCGTTGACGCCTTGCCATGGGGTGACAGTGCCACGGGCCAGATCCGAGAGGCATGCACCTCCTCGAGCAGCGGCAGGGGGCCCTTCCCTCCTCAGAAAGTTCCCGCTGACGCATCTGCTGCCCAGACAGGTCCCCCCAGTTGGCACTGCGTGAACACAGAACCACCGCAGCTTCAGCCTCTGTGAACCAGACAGAATAAAGTTCTCTTTCCATCTCAGGGTTCAAGCACAGTGATCTGGCTGCCTAGCCGAGACCCCAGACACAGCCTTCAGGTGCAGGGCCTCTGAAATGACCACTCGCTGCTCTGGTGCGTCTTCCAGGAGAGCTAAGAAGCCTCCGCTTATGCTGGCCTCTGTCCTAAAATAGACTGTCATGGTGCCCAGCGCCAAGATTTAGGGCCCCGGAAGGCATTTGTGTATGAAGGGGGTGTCATGTTTCGGCTCTTGACTGACTGGCTCTAGTTCGTCATGAGGACTGTCTCCTGCGAGGCAGGCATGCCGACATCCCGGGCACAGGCGGCATTCCCTCACGGCCAGAGGCATTTCACTCTCCAGAACCCGATTTGCCCCAAAGACATTTCTTTGCCATTTTTCTTCCTGGGCTGGCCTTGGCCTTAAATGAGATGAGAAAGTATTGATTTGTAATTCTTTCCTGAGCACATCGCTCCTGAGAACCTAAAAACCGCTGGTGCCTCCGTGTCTTTGGGCTGAAAGCAGATGTTAGGAATGCGGGGTCTTTTTGGGACCTGCTGTCGGCCCCCCCAATGGCTCTAAATGTATTAGCAGTAGGTTAACTTACCATGCTCCCTGCATTTACTCTTGTAGCTAAAATTTTTGTGACTTTTTCCCCCTCTCATTTTATTAGGTTAATAAAACTTGGTTTTCGAACATTTCACTGTCCCCAGAGGGCAGTGGGCCCCACGTCCAATCCATCAAGTGCCTAATGAGTGGCCTCTGGGGCCCCGGCCCGTCCATTCCAGAAGCTCTCTCTGCCTGTAAAGGTGAGGCCTACGGGCTGCACTGTATATTTTGTCTGTTGGTTTCCCAAATTCTCCTGCCAGCTCACTGTCACTTTTCAGGATTTATATGAGGCCAGCAGCACCATGGGGCGGCTCCCCACGGCAGCAGACCCCCCCTTTGCCTGCTTCTCACACACACCACACTCTGTCCATAAAATAACATTTCTGCAATAAATGCAATGGAAATGTGTCGAGCTAGCATTTTAGAACATTCCAGCACAAGGGCTGTGGGAAATGCCTTCGTTTACATTCAGGAGGGAAGCTCGGAGAGTGCAGGGATAAAACAGTGTGGTAAGAAGGACTTTAGTAAGAAGTAGTCTGGTATTTAAAATAAATAAATTACAAATAAAACGTGTGTGTGTGTCCATGGGCACACGTCGGATGTACGCACGGTTTCTAAATCTTTTTGCACCTATGTTTATACAGCCCCTGGTTTATCTGTTGGCCTTTCAGAGGAAGGCCAGTAGAACAGAAAATTAGATGTTGTTTGGCTTCCGGGCCCAGGGTCCGGGCTCTCTCTCCTTTGCGAGTTGCCAGGGTCCTGCCAGCTCCAGGCTTAGGGCTGTATTTGCCCTAGGATGGTCGGAAAACTAGGATCTGGGCACCAAGAGCCCAAGGCGCACACACAGAGGGGCGTGAGGGCGGGGTTCTCTGGGCCTGGGCTCCCGGGCTGGAGGCCCCCCGAATGTCCGCACAGCAGCCTGGTCTTGTCAGGTTTGCAGTTCCTGTCCTGCTTCCTCGTGTCTTGTTCGAGCCTCCAGGGAACACCCAGCCTTTACTTCACTGCAGTCTTGTAGGGCACGTGCTGTCACTGGTAAACCAGCCCACGCAGTGTGCAGGGCCGGAGGGAAGGAGTGGGAGGGGTCGCCCTTGCTCTGTGGGCAGTACAAGGGAAAACGTAAAAGCTGCCCTGGACCATTCCCGCCATGCCCTCGGCATTTCATCGGCCACTTGGCCCTGATGCCAGGTAACGACCTGTCCAAGCAATTGACAGGGATCTGGGGGCTCTGTTGAACCCTGAGGATGTGGGGAGGGGCTGGGTGCCGTCCCTCCTCCGTTGTGTCCTGGTGCCTGTGGGTGGGGCATTCTGGCCGGTCTCTGAGGTCACGGGGAGCATCCATGCTAGCTACCCCACAGGAGGAGCCCTGCCCAGATAGCCCTCCACTCGGCCCTGGGAAGACACAGCGAAAGCTTGTCACTGTCAGCAGGGACCTCAAAGTGTCCACATGGCCTGGACGTGTGCCCCAGCTGTGTGTATCCCCGCATGTCCCCGTTGGGCTGTGTGTCGGTGGCTCAGAGCCATACGCAGGGGCCCCCAGCAGCCATGTGGAGGGGCTTGGAGGCAGTGGGCCCGGTCGCGTCCCTTGAAGGCTCTCAGCCAGGACTGGCCTCTCTCGGCGGCCCCCCCTCAGTCTCTGGCGGCTGGAGCAGGCCTCCCATGCGGGGTTTCCCACGAGGACCGGCCCTTCTTCCCTGCACAGCTCTCTTACTAGACACTCACTGCGCATTAGACTATCTTCTGAAAATATACTTTGAAGGGTTTTTGTTTTCCCTACTTGACACTCTTGGATAAAGTAGGCCATTTATCTTTTAGGCAGAAGAATTTCAACAGTTACACTGCACACTAGCAGAAGAACTGCAGGCTCCACATGTAGAGGCAGTTGGAATGTTCTCTGTCACAGGCTCATCCGTGTGCTGGCTTCCCCCTAAGCCTGGCCGCTTCTCTCTGTCTCTCTAATACCCCCAGCTGCACCCCCAGCCCCCCGCAGCTCCAGCCCACCTCTGGCTCCTTACACTGAGGAGCATTTAGGCCTGCGCATCTGTGTGTGTAAACTCACCCCCGTTAGTCCACGTTAAGTGCAATAGAACAGAGAAAAATGTAATCTTTGTCGGCTTCTGATCAAAGAGAGGGCTTAAAAAAAAAATTCAAGATGGATTTCTGAAAGACAATGTTATACACATTCTGTGTGTTTCTGAGCTTCATTGTTTAGTTGATTCAGAGGGAAAAAAAATCTTTTCTTTTTTCCTTTTGATCGCAGGGAGAAAACATTTGCAAAAACACGTCTCTGTACCGTGAACATCGCAAGGCAGGCACCCCTCTTTAGGGTCCCCAGCGGAGAGGTGCAAGTGTGTTGCCTTTAAATCCATCAGCGACACAAGAGAATTTGAAATACGGTGCGACTGCAATCTGCAAACCCTTCCTCGCCTCCTTGGGGACGCGGGGCGACGTCACCCTGGTCTGGGGCCGCTTCTGGACCCTGGGTGCCCCCTCCTGCGCTCAGAAACACACCCGTGTCCACGCTTGCTCCAGGGCCATTACGGGTGCATTGCTCCCCCACTCCCTCAGGCACAGCACAAATGCAAATAAAAGGCGCTTAAAATGGTTAACATTTCCTGTCACTGAAGGCGTTCGTTAGGGGTGGGGGTCGCTGAGCTTTAAAGTGTATTTTCATAGGAAAACTCATTTCAGATCCGCGGCAGGAACTCGGACCGCTTCGCACAGCACGTTTCGGGTTTGCTGTGGGCCTGAGCTCCTTGCCGCCGGGCGAACGGTCCTGTCCGTTGTCTGCATCCGGGAGAGCAGATCCGGATTCAAACCCAGATTAACCTGGACCCAGCTCGGGGTGACAGGAAAACAGGAAAATATGTCCTCCACCTCCTCCTTCCCCTTTATCCATTTTCTTTTCCTTTATTGGAGTAAAAACCAAATTTGGTATTTTAATTGGTTGTGTTTCCTCTATTGATTGTTTAGCTAGTGGTTTTGCCAACTTCCTGGATGTTCCTTTCTGGTTCTGCACAAAAGAGCCACATTTCCCTTTTGGACTCGGGAGCAGGAGGCCGACTGCAGCCGACCCTGGAAGCCGTGAGTGCTGCCCGCCTCCCCCCAACGCCTCCCTGACCCTGCGCCCCGCCGGCCCGTCCCCCCTTCCCCACCAGTTCAGTGGCTGCAGGCTGCCCGGGGGACTCCTTCCCCCTGCCAGCCCCCAGCACCCTTCTCAGCTTATGGGAAAAGGGGCTTCACCGCTGCTACCCCACTGTCGGGTAGGGAGGGGTGGGGGGCCGTGCTCACCAGCGCAGGGTCCTCGATTTTCATTTTAGAGCTCAGAAAGATGGAGAAAGTAAACAGAAGCAGGCTGGTTTATTTCAGGGGCTAACAGGGAGTCCCTACTGAATTTACCTAATAAAATGAATTTTTAAAATTTCATTTTCTCATTTCAGTCCAGCAGAAAGTGAGTTTGCCTTTATAATGTCCAGATCTTTCAAACTCTATTGAGTAAGAAATTAAGTTATAAAATATGAATACTTCGGTGTGTGTGAATATATATATGAAATGAAGTAATCTGCGACTGTAATACAATAGCAAGCCTGACTTTAGGCTCCTAGGACACTTAAAACATTTTTTTATGATGTGTAATTAAAAATTAGATTCAGTAAAAATGTTTCTCTTTAAAAATGGGTGTATTGTGGTACTTACTATATTTAATTGTAATTTTCATTTAACATACGTTGTCTATTTAAAAAAAAATCTCCTGAACATCTTGTCAAACGTTGGGAGGATTGTAAAGAAGTCCTGTTGATACTTGGGCCACAGCTGATTTCTCTCCTTGCCACGAGACTATTCCAGGTACGGGAAATTGTAAAGCGCTATAGTTCTCTCATGATAAAAATGCCCTGCCTTGAATTACCAAGAGAAAGCCATTAACGCTCGACTTTCAAGGCAGATCCAGGGATCAGTTGGGAGCAAGAAGAAAGAGGAAAGCAAGCCAGTTATTTGCCTAAGAAAATCCAGAACTCTGGTCATGCAGAGGTGTAATCGGAATGTGATTGTATTTATAAGGAAAAGTTACACAAACTTTAGAAATGTGGTTGTTCTGCTAAAGTGCCTGAAAATAAATTTGGGATCCTGTTTGGGTTGCTCGGGTTGTGTGCTCTTGAGTTCCCCAGACCTTGTTAGGTTTAAGAACCCCAAGGGGCGCCGAGTGTTCGGGAAGCGAGGGGGAAAAGGTGGGAGCAGACTGCTTACGAAAACCCTCACTCCGGAAATCCACAACGAATGTAAAACTTAGAAATTAAAAACAGCAATTTCCTTCCTTTTTTTTTTTTTTTTTTTTTTTGCCTTCTCTTCGGGGTGATCGCAGGGGGTACCGCGATGGGCTAGACCCAATTTTCAGAACTGCTGCGGACCGGAGGTGTGCAGGGGGGCCGTCGCCGCCCTCCCGCGCTTGGGGCTGGGGGGCCCTGCCGCTGTGCTCCTGAGCCCGATGCCGGGGCATTGCCCACCTTCGGTGTGTCTCCAGGCTTCCTGACCTGGGTCGGCGCAACAGCAACCTTTCCCCGGGCGGGGAGGGGCCCCTGCGGCCCAGTAGATGGCGCTGTGACTTCTAGGGTGACCCTGGCCAGTGGGGGTGGGAGGACCGAGCCTGAGATTTCGCCCGCAGGGCTGTCAGGTCCCCATCACCTCTCCCAGAGCGCGTCCCGGGAGCGCAGACACTTTTCTGAGGCCTTGCCTGAAATGCGCTGAGCTAGCAAAGAGTGTTTTAAGTAGTGAAGCCAAATGTTAATTACCGAGCGTCTCACCCTCCCCGAAATGGCCTGAGACAGCGCCCAGCCCAGTGAAAGTGCGGAGAAATACCTCCCAGAGAGGAGCCGCTGAGCCGCTATTTCAGTATTTTATCCATTTCCTGTCTTAGCTTTAAGTAATAAAAGATATCCTTACCGATTCTCCTATAATGATTGTGGAGAATGTACGTGTTACAGCTTTGCATGAAATTTTATCTGCGTGCAAATGGCTAAGTAAAATCAGGCATGTACAGATAATAACATAATCAGAGTCTCACCTTCTCAAAAAAGTGTTTTCCTTTTGATGTGATGAATATGTGGGAGAAATCCATCCCGGACGTTGTATTTCATCATATCAGCACCTGCTAAAATGGCATTACCAGCTTCTTAGAACTTTTTAGCTTCTCTCATGAAAGATTTCAGGATAACCTTCTCCCCCCCCTCGCATAGGGAAAAGTTTCTACTTGATTTCAAAAAACAAACAAACATTTTTCTGTCTCCATCTCTTGCTAGAGAGAATCCCAAAGAATGAAGAGCGACGTTCTTCAAATACATTTGATGTTAAAATTAAAATTATTTATTGAAAGACAATTTTTGGATGATTTCAATGTTATGGTTCTTTATGGGACAATATGATTTAATTCATTTTATGTAATAATTTGCCATATTGTTTTTTTAATTTAAAAAAATAGTGTGTATGTCAAAAAGTATTTTAAACAAACTGAATTCAGCATGAGCAACAAAAAGACCTATTTCTTTTCCTAAAAATGATATTATCATTTGTCCTCAGGAAAAAAAAAAGATGTGGGAAATTCATGTGACTCCAAATGTGAAATACTGTTTAAAGACGCAGAGATACGTGAATGTAACATGGTGCCGTGACTCTGTCTTGTCTGGTAGTAATTAATCATGTATTGCACTTTAAAAATGGAATTGAATGACATGTTAGCTTTCCTACCTTTATCTGTTTACAAACTGTGCAAGTCATCCACTATTTATGATCCAAGTATACGTATTAATAAGATGATTGTGCAAAAAAAACCCCAGCTGTTTAAATAAATTCTGTTCTGCTTTAAAGAGCTTTGGCCTTTGGGGAGAAAGCCATTTAAGTATTGAGTGGCAGTGACCAGAGAACAATAGTTAAAATGAAAATAAATCTTCCTGAAACTTAGTTCTAATTTTCTTGAGCAAGACACTAACCCATAAAAAATAAACATTGTTTATTGAGCCACATTTGTATCAAGTGAACCTTTGTAAAACGATACCGAGAAAATATGAACTTGTATGTCTCAAGCACTTTGCTCACTGGCACAACAGAGAGGGCTATTTGATACGGGGAAACTGAAGGAAATAAAATTAGCAAGTCTGGAGAGACATCTATTCAGATTTGTACAGGCCCAGGGAGGTGACTGTATCAGAGTTAACACAAAAAAATCTGTGTCACTTGGCACCTCAGCTTAACGGGTAATTTAATTACACTACCTGTTCGTGTTGACTTACATTTCTGCTCTGGCCAACCTTCTTACGGTCTTGTTTATTTCCAGAAATCACATTTGTGACAGCTCTAATAGGCCATTCCACAGCGAACATTTTCTCATTTCACTGAAAATATTTCAGGTTTCAGAATACCCAGCAAGGAAAAGCACTTTCAGACTTCATGTATGTGAATAAACTTGTTTGGGGCAAGATTTTGTAGAAAAATGAGTTCAGCCAGCCTGTGACCAATTTCAGCCTGAAATATTTTTATGTTTCAGTTTGCCAACCAGGCTGAGCGGACCTCAACTGATGCAAAGATTATCACTTCTTCTGGGCTCGTTTGGTTTTCTTTGGTGGGAGGGGAGGATGTGCTGTCTTTGCATACAGCTTTACAGAAATACATGGGGGCCCGGGGTTGCCAGCAAGCACGTGGGACTCACACAGCTCTGGCTGGGAGGGATGGCGCCCCCGCTGCAGATTCTGTGTTTGTAAACTTTCCGCTTCTTGTTTTTTGAGAAAGTCACGTTTGATCTCTTCCAGTGAAGGTGGGGAGGCATACTTATGTCCCTCCTAACAGCTGAATGCAATCAGGGTGCTTATTTTGTGTTGTGTTTTAGTTAAAAGGTAAAAGAAAAGAGAAAAATACACCCAAACAAACCAGAAGACACACTTAGCATCCGGTCGTCAACCCTAAACAGTGCCGTCAGTGGGGGATAAAGACAAAGTGTTTTACCGCCTCCCGCGCCCCCGTGAAATTCTCTTGGAAGGAGATGGGGAACTGGGGGATTCCATTTAAGGGTCAGCTAACGTGTTTAAGCTGCATGTCAGCAGAAAGGAGGCTGGGATCCTTTGTGCAAACAAGAGCCAGAAACTCAAATCCCTGCCTGTCTCTCAGAAATGTTCTTGCCCAGCAGCATCTTCTGAGCAGTTTGGAGAAACAAGCCTTGGAGGCCATTTTTGTGGCCTTGCCATCACCTCCTCTGACCGGGTCATGCTGACCCTCCTCAGGAGTGGTCTGGGGGCCCAGGTGTGTCTGCAGGCTGCAGCCGAGGCTTGCTTGGTGAAGGAGGCAGAGCCCATTCCCATGGTGGGAGCTGTCATGGGTTCACGGGGCAGGCGCTCAAGGTTGTCCGGTTCCCACAGTGCTGGCAGATGGAGCCACGGCCCCGGCCTGGGCAAGGGCCGGACAACGCCATGTTGCTGTCATGTGACAGCTGCTCTCCCTGATGTCCCACAGCACCCCGCTTTCTGGGAGCCATAATCTTGGATACTCAGTCATTTAACAGATTTCTTTGTGTTTTGAGTTGCAAGCTGTCTCCTTCACCTAGAATCTAAGCGTCATGAGAGCTGCATGCTTACAACAAGGGTTGCTGTTTATCCAGATTTTGCAGCATGCCAGGTGTTGCAGGGGGTGACTGGATGGAACCCAACAGGTCCACGGGGAAGGGGTTGTCATCCCCATTTGATGCTGAGGAAACTGAGTCCCCTGTGGACACTGTGGGAGGTTGGGTGGAATCCCCGCTGAGGCACTTGTTTGGCTGGGGGAAATGGGGACTTGAATCCAGGCCAGCGGGTCACAGAACTCACATGCTTAACCTGGACCTCATAGCGAGGAAATGAACGGGCGAATCTGAGAGGCGGTGGGGTATGCGCTTGGAGCAAAGGCCGTAGGGCAGGACAGCTGGGGTTCAGACAGGGCTCTGCCTCCTGTGCTGGGGACCTTGGTGAATTCCTCACATTTTCTGAGCCTGAGTTTCCTCCTACATAAATGGAAGTAGTAATTTTTCTTTTTCAGGTTGTGAATGAAAAGGCCAGGCTCATGGAATGTGCTGGGTGAAGAAGCGCATCACCACCTTCTCTGGGCCAGTTCTGGGGAGCCTGGAGACAAGCAGGCAGAGGGGCTGCCTGGCTCACACCTCGGCCCCCTGTGAGGTCGGCCGCCCTGGGTAAGTCTCGGGGACTTGCTGGGCGTTGGTTTTCTCTTCCGTTCCTACCTCAAAGGTTCAGAGAAAGGAGAGCTGGACCCATATAATACTAAACAGACACCCACTAAGCGACTCCATGGAGCATTCCTGCATCTGTGGGGCACTCCCACACTACAGCCTTGCCTCAGAAGTGCGGCCCTCGGACCAGCAGCGTGGGCATCGCCTGGGAGCCTGTTTGCAATGTAGAGTCTCAGCCCCATGTCCTCCCCACCTGAATCCCACCCGTGGCTTTGCATGCCCTGGCCTGGCTCCTGGAGCAGCGTGCCCGATGAGGCAGCTGCCCTGTGGCTCAGGTCCTGTGAGTCTGTCTGCTCTTGGCCACTCTGCTGCCAGGGGCTGATAGGCTGCGTTTTGCAGTCTCCCAGGTCAGCCCGCTTCTGGGTGGGTCTGGCCAGGGAGAGGTAAGACGGGTGGGCAAGCCGGAGGAGGGAGAAGCCGGGGTCCCTTTCCCTCTCCCCGCTCCCCAGTGGTGGTTCTTGCATAGACAAGCCCTGGGCGACACTGGCTCCTCTCTCCCTGCAGAGGCGCTCGCCACTCCCCACGAGGCTCATCCTGGGCTCCGCTGGTCGGCTTCTGAGCTTTTCCATCGCCAGAGCGACCAGTCTGAATATCAGGTTTCCTCTGTTTTAAATACTTAGTGAAGTGTCTGTTTTTCTTGGTTGGATCTAGTGGTCCACCCAGGCTCACACTGCAGGATAGGGGTGTTGGACAGATGGTTTGGGCAAGGTTCCTGCTCTCCTGCTGACTTGTGCTTTGACCTGGACAAGCCACTCTCCCTACGCCCAGGGCAGGAGCCAGGCTCAGCCAGGTCCTTTCTCTCCCACTCCGGCGCCTCCTGCGGGCCCCGCCCAGACCCTCCTCACCTGCAGCAGGTGGGATGCATGGCTGGCCTCCTGCATTTACCCGCCCTGAGCCCAGGCCCTCTGACAGGGACTGGGTAGCTCCTCCCAAGAGGCAGTAGGTTCCTTGTCCCTGGAGTCTGGCTTTCACCCTCTGACTTGCTGTGGTCCATGGGACACTAGCAGGTATGCAAGCAGAAGCTTGGAGATGCACCTGCTGTTTCCACCAGTGATCTTGTGCCTTTGCCATCACCCCGAGAGGGGCCTCTGCCGGTCCGAGGAGGACAGGGGACACACCGAGCTGTGTCTTGCCCTCCAGCCCAGCGGAGCTCACAGTCGTGTAAGTCAGCCCGGCCACCGTCGGCAGGGACACTTAGCAGGCCACCCCAGATGCAGGGCGTGAGTGCTGTCCTGGTGTGCCCCTAGGCCCTGTGCTCTTGTGGTGCAGCCTGAGTGTGGTAAGAGCTGACTGACACATCCTCACAGAGTGAGCAGCCTTCACAGAGTCCCCGGCTCACTGTGCAAAACAGCCTCGGGACCTCGACTGGGGCTTCATCTGTACCGCTTCCCAGCAGGGGTCCCGGGAAGGCCTGGTGTTTCACTCTGCCTCCGTTTTGACCTCTGTATAAGGTGGACAGCAGTAGGACTTTCCCTATAGGGGCTGCAGGGATTAGGATGCTGTGTGCAAGGCAGCTGGGACATAGGTGACACTCAGTAAAAGTTATCATCATTATAAATGGAACCGCTAACCCTGTGTTACAAAAGCCAGTAGCAGCCCCGATCTAGCCTTTGCCTTCCCGTCTCTGCCCCCAGGGCTCCGGCCATGTCTACAGCTTGCCACCCTCAGACTCCATACTTGCTTACGCCTCAGGGCCCTGCACACGCATGCCTTCTCGCTAGAACGCCATCCGCCTCTCCTCCAACTGGTGAATCTCCCCCTTTCTTCACAACCACTTGTGTGCAGTGAAGACTGAAGGGTAATTATCTGAGTATTTCACTTTGCCCTCCAGGACTTTTTGGGCAGTTCCCTGCAAGAGCACATCCTTTCCTGAACTCTGGTCCCCTGGGGCTGGCCACCTCTCCCACCTGCAGTGTGAGGGCTCAGTCACACCTGGGTCCCAGTGATGAACTCCCACCCTGCACTGCCCCCCCTCACCCCCCGGGGAACAGAGGCTATGGACATGGCACTGTGGCAGGAAAACCAACCATGTGTCAAGACGAAGCCTCTCCTACAGAAGCCCCCTGGGAGGCTGTGGCACTCACTCACTCACTCAGCAGGCCGATCCTCAGCGGGCAGCAGGGCCTAGGCGCCCCTGCCCTGTGCCAGGCGCTCAGCGGCTTTCCTTCACGGCTGTGACCTTTGCGTTGTGGCCCACAGTCCACCAGGGAGGTCAGGCGCGAGCTGACGGGGAGAGGGCATGGATGGGCATCCGAACGGAGATGGGACTGGTCAGCCTGGTGTGGGGACAGGGCAGAGGCCTTCCAGGCCCCCGTGGGTGGGGGGGGTGGACAGCCAGGGAGTGTGGTCGGAGAGCCCCGCCAAGGCCAGATCACGGAGGTCAGGCAGGTGCCTGCTTTGACCCCAGTGCCACTTTCTGGGACGAAGCAGGCGGGGTGTGGCCTCCCCGCTTCTGAGGTCCTGTCCCAAAGGCCCTCCATCGGAAACAGCGGCTGGAGGGGCTCTGCCCCCTGGCAGTCATACTTATGCCTTGGACAACCTGGAGGCTGGTTTCACCAAGGAAATAAATAAGTAAACAAAGAAATATAATACTTGTTTTAGTGAAGAGAGGCAGCCTGCCTTTCAGTGCTCCAAAGAACACGGAGAACACTGCAATTGGGTGGCCTTGCTGTCAGTCATTTAGATAAGCAAGAAGGGGGTGGAGCCCTGGGCTGGGTGGAACTGTTTCCATGGAGACTGCCTGTCTGTCCCCTTTTGCGTTCCTGCCTGGAAGATGGGACGGGTGGCAGCTCCTCACATTCAGAGGCAGGGTGAGACAGCAGGTGGTGGGCGGCCCAGGCAGGGCAGGAGGTGGGCGCCGCATGGCGGGACTCACACCAGCTTCCAGGAAGGACCAAGCTACCGAGAGGACGCACTGTCTTGTGCTTCGGGAAGGGCCGTCCTCGGGAGGTTCACCTCTGTTTCCGTGGCCGGCCCGTGTCACCTGACCACTGTTGCAAAGGAGTCTGGGAAGCTGCATATTTTCAGTCGGGTCCATTGCCAAGCCAAATAAAACCGGAATCCTGTCAACAAGGAGGAATGGGGCGGGGAGCGCATGTGGCGCGGCAACCAGCAGAGGGCCGAGAGACCCGCCTGGGTCACATCTGACTGTTCCGTGACACTCTTGATTTGAAGGAGACGTTTTTCTTTACAAAAAGCTTTCTGATGAGATGTTCCTCTCCTAGCATTCTGAATATTTTCACTGAATAGCCTCACTAAAAATAAAATGAATTAATGTGTTTCTACCAGTTGGGAAAATAAAGGGTCGATACTTTTGGCCACGACTTCCCAAGAAGTAGGCGGCTTCTTTGCTGACTGTCATTTCACAGAGAAGGAAATGGAGGCACGGAAAGGTTGGGGGCTTGCCCGGAGTCCCGGGTGGGCAGCACCAGAGTGCGGTTCAGGCTGCGAAGCTCCCTGGGGCCCGGCTGCAGCCTGGGCTGGCGAAGGGCGGTGTGACACTGCGGGGAGGCTGTCCTGGACGGCGCGTGTGCCTGGGGCAGGGCGCCTCGCCTCCTTGCCCACGGCTTGGGAGGTGCTGCCCTGTCGGGCCTCGGGGTGCCCTCTGCCTCCCTCCTCCTGCTGTCCCCACGCCTCTCGTGGGCTCCCAGTTGACCCGGGGTCTTTCTCCAGTTGGTTCCCTGAGTGCAGGGCCCGGCCTGGGGAGGGAATTCTCTCTGCTTCTGGCTGAGGCCTCCACCTGGCCTTGCTGCACCCCGAGGGCCAGGGAAGGTTGTGCCACGGCAGCCCGTGCTCACACCCACCTCCACACGTCTGAGAGCGGTGGGCAAAGCACCCAGGCTGCCCCAGGTTGTGGCTTCCTTGCCTGGACAGTGGGCGGTACGGGCCCCTCACAGGCCTGTCTGCAGGAGGGAAGGCGAAGGTGCTGCACTGAGCCCCTCCGGGGGCACGGGCAGAGAGGGGTGACGGCCCCTCCCTCAGGCTGTCAGGAGACCCCCTCAGCCTGGCTCCCTGGCCTGTGACGTGGGAGGGCTCCCCAGGTCTTCTGCACCAAGCTGCTGTGAGTGCTACAGAGAAAAGCATTTTGACAGTTAATTCATGGACCTGATCATCTGCCAGGCCCTGGGCTACACCCTTCGCTGGGTCAGAGTGGGCGTCAAACCACATGTGGAGCAGCCAGGATCCAATGTCTGCCCCCTGCTCAGCCCGCGCCTGTGCCAAGCAGCCCTCCTCAGAGTCAGGGGGCCCTGGGGTGCCCCTGCACAGGGCACGGCCACGCCTCCTGACTCACAAGGAGCCAGGCATGTAATGAAAGCCCATCTTGGACACCCAGGTGTGACATGAGGGACACAGACGGCACATGTGGCTTAGAGATTGCACCCCGGCCAAGTGGCACTCCCGAGACAGGCTGCCCACCTAGGAGCTCGTGCCAGTGACAGCCTGCCTGTTGAAGGGCAGTGCGTGGGGACCCGCCCCGTGTGACTGCCGAGACTGGAGGGCGGCGGCCCAGTCCGGGGAGTGGGCACCGAGGAGCACGCCTGCGGCTCCGGGTACCACCGGGGCGCCCAGACCAGGAAGCTCCTCTGTCTGTCGTGACTGGCTTTTGGGTCTTCGGGCCAATTTATGGTTCAGTAAACACTTAATTAACAACACTTTTCTCTTCTTAGAGTGTTGAAGGGTGCAAGAACTCGAGTCTTCTATGCTCTCCCTTCTGGGAAAAGTTCTGAGACCTTCCAAAATTCATCTTGAGGTCTCAGGGTACCGTCAGTGGGGTACTATTCGATTCTTGTTTTTAGCTGGTGATGCCATTTGTCTCTCGCAGAAAGAGCTTTGAAATAAAAGCTTACCTGGAGGACAGGGATGCTGATCAGGAAAGTGTTGGGTGTGTCACAAGTAGCCCCCCTTGAAGTGGCTTAAACACTGTGTTTCTGTGGCACGAGAGGGTGCCTGGGGGTCGCACCGTTGGCATCTGCTCATTCGCTCGGGACAAGCCAGCGGCTGAGATGGCTTGTACCGGGGCCCTGTGGCCACTCTGACAGATGGCCACACATTTGGTTGTCTTGGAGTCCCGGAGTTGGAAGCCATGAGGGCCCCTGGGCCGAAATCAAGGGGTCAGAAGGGTCGATTTCTTCTGGAAGCTGTAGGGTGAATCCACTTTCGTGCCCTTTCCAGCTTCTAGTGGGGCCAGCATTCCTCGGCTTCTCCTCCACCCTGATGGGTGGGCACAGCATCCTTCCGCCCTTCTTGTGCTACCGCTCGGTTTCCTCTGATCTTTTCTACTTCTCTCTTCCACTTTCTAGGACCCTTGTGACTGCATGGGGCCCATTTGTAATCCAGGAAAACCTCCCCAGAATAAGGTCAACTGATTAGCAACCTTAGCTCCACCTGCAGCCTCAGTTCCCCTTTGCCACATAACCTCCCATTTTCTCATGTTTTGTGGATTAGGATGTGGATATTTCTTGGGGGCCATCAGTCTGTCCACCACATTGCTGTTATCTGTCCTGTCATGGTCCACTGAGGCTGCTGCGCCTCCAGACATCACACCTGCCATTCGATGGAGGAAGGGAGAAGGTTTCCAATTGCATTAGCTGGGTCTGTGCCTTTTAATTGGGAAAGCCAAAGGTGTCCCACAATATCCCAGCACCCCTGTACATCTTAGGAGTCAGAACCAGGTCACTTGGCTGTGTCTAGCTGCAGAGGAGGCTGGCGAGGTACACTGTAGGCTTCGTCTACACTGCGGGGTGGCAAGGGGAAGGTCGGTGGGAATGACTCTAAGAAGTGCATTGATGGTATCTGCCATGGCCCTTCCCAAGCTCCTGAATTTATTTCAGCAAGACTTCATGGACAGGGCACCAGGGCTAGGGGTGGTGGCTTCCAAGCATGTCTTAACAGCTTTCCAGTAGAATGTAGTTGACAGGAGCTCTTGAGTTCTAAAAGGGAACTTCAAAATCCGACCCTGGCCTTGTGGGGGAGGCTCTGGCTCTGGAATGGGCTGCCCTGGGCTCTGGCACCTTTCAGACTTGAGAACTAGTTAGAATGTGTGCGAAGTGCCCAGTGTGTCCGCCTCCAGATGGGTGCCAGGATGGGGACTGGCGAGCTAATGGTGGCTGTGGGTGGGCCTGGGGACGCAGGCACTACTTTGGCAGCAATATGGCAAGGGTGTGGCTCTCCCCCACCGCTGCCATTTTGTGGGCCATTCTGTCCTAGGTGAAGGAGTTGTGCACGTGCTGAACGGGGCAGCCTCATTAGGGGCTGTTAGTAAATCAGCGCCCAGTGTATTCTGCCTGGAAAGCTGTGCACGGTTCTGTATTCCTAGCTGGGGTCTTCAGTGTTGATTTCCCCCTAAACACACAGGCTCTGCCAGAACTCACTCAGCTAACCCAGAGTTAAAGAACAAATCTCAGCATTGTGGGTTTCTAGTAGAGGCAGGAGCTCCCGAGGACCCATGAAGGCAGCCCCTGGCCCCTGCATGCCTCACATAGCACGGCGCCTCCTGCAGCCCATTCTGGGCACCACATGCTCAAAACAATCTGGGAAACAAAATCTGAGTCAGTCCAGGTTTCAAACCCTCCATTGATTGGCTGCTGGTATCCTGTGGGGACACAGACAAGGATAAGATGAGACCCCTGCCCTCAAGGGGAAAGGAAGACAGAGACAGAGCTCCCAAGTGTTGGGGCTGTGCACTGTGCAGGGGCTGCTGTGCATCACACTGCTGGGTGTCATCGGGCAGGTGACTTAACCTCTCTGAACCTCAGTTTCCCCATCTGGGAAGTGGGGCTAACACCACCTCCCTCCTAGGGCCACTGTGAGGACTACCGAATGGAAAGTGCACAGAAGGGTCCTGCGTTATTGTGCGGTCACTGTCACTTGATGCACGCAAGCAACTCAAACTCTCAGCATTTGGATTCACTGAGTCACCAGCACAGCCGCATGCTACGAATGGAGCTGGGGCCGGCTGAGTTGCGGCTCTTCCATTCAGCTCGAGAGTGAGCCCTGTGTGGCTGTGATTGCGCGTGGCCTCTGGCTACAAGCTCTGTGGAGCTCCATGGTGCTTATCTCCATGCGGACAGAGGTGTCCACACTGTGCCCGACCGGAGTCTGGAAACGCCCGGCCCCCGGCTGTGAGGCTGGTGGGGTAGCAGCACAGTGCTGAGGACCCGGTGGGGCCTCTGTGCATGCCAACTGGCACTCTGTGCACTTGAGCAAGTCCCGAAGGAACGCAGAGATAGTTCCCACGCGCAGCTCCACTTTGGAGGTGGGGAAACCGAGGCGCAGGGAGGCGAAGTCAATTGCCTGGGACCCCACAGCCAGTGAGAGGTAGGGTGGGTGTGCAAGTCGGCCTGAGGGCTGTTTCAGGGATGAGCAGTGGGTGCCAGGGTCCCAGCTCAGCATGAGGCCCCCCTCCAGGTCCCCAGGTGCCACCGCGCGCCGGTGAAGAGCTCCCAAGCTTTCCTGCAGAGTTTGCCCGGGCGGGCATCTTTCCCACGTTCCTCCAGGCTCCCGCCAGCTCCGTTGTCCCCCGGGGGAGGTGAGAACCTGGGAATTCTCTTATCTCTGTCGAGCAGGATGCGTCCTGTGTTGTGTCCCCACCGAGGTTTCCAGGCGCTGTGATGAGCTTGCAGATTTCGGCAGGCGATTGCTGCGCCGCTTCGGCCCGGCCCTGGGGGGGCCGTGTTTTGTTTGCCAGGCCCCTCGCGCCGCGGCCGGGCCCGTGTCCCTGGCCTTCTCAGCTGTTCCGGGCCCTCCGCTCCTCTGCAGGCGCGGCCCGGCGGCCAGCGGTGTGAAATGGCAGGGGTGAATTCCTGCCCGAGGGCCGTTTCCGCCCATTCTTTGTGCAGAGGCCGCCGCGGCCCCTGCCAGGGAGGGGGATGCAGTGCCCCGCGTGGCCCCCGGGGGCGCTGTGCAGGCTTCCACCTACCCGACCCCGTCAGTCACCTCAGACAGGGGCTCTTATCCTGCCCCGCGTGGGTGGAAACAGGAAATTAACCTAGGTCTGCAATGGAGTGTGGGGCATGGTTCTCCGCGTCACCTCCAGCCGGGGTTCTTTGAAAGTGCAGATTCTCCGGCTGGGCTCTCAGGGTCAGACTCACCAGCAGCTGCGTGGGGCGCACATCCATAGTTCACGCCAGGCCTGGAGCATTCTTCTGACCCGGCACGTTGGGGAGATGCTGGCCTGGCGCTGTGGGGTCACTGCACGGCCACCCCTCCCGGTTGCTCCTCGTCGTCTTAGAGCCTCTCTGAACCTCAGTCTCCTCCTCCGCTGACTGGGGCTGGTGTTCTCGCTCTA